ATCCACTAATTAATTATGTATACTTTTTCTATATAAATGATAGTAACGAATATTCTTATCATTAAATCCCCTGAAGAGTGAAGCAATTCACGAAACAGGCTTGTCGGGAAAAATGTTGTCGTGACTTTTTCTTCTCAAACAAATATATGTATATATATTCATTAAACGCACGAAACTCTCTATATTTCCCGCCATCTTTGCTTTGTTTCGCCCCCTGGCAAGATGACCACCTTATCGTCGAAGTAGACCATTGATCGCTCTTTTCCGGTTATTTCAGCGGTCTTGGATTGTTCCTTCATGTTTGTTTGTTTGTCTTGTTTTTATCTGATCTCACAATCACGTGTCATCTTTTTATATCACTAGGAAAGCGTTCTTATGCGCACGTCCAAAGATCCTAACCTCAAGATTGACTGGGACAAGTTTAACACAGACAGACATGCTCTAGAAGCTGGAAAGAAAGAAGGGGTATTTAATAGAACTAATATGATAATGTAGTCTTCCCATTGCGCATGCGCAAGCACAATGACTATAAAACAGACATGCGACAACAATGTTTTTTCACAGAAATACTCGTGTAGGAGTGCATGAGGCCAGCAACCCCTTCACATATTATTTATTGCTACGGAAACTAACACAAATGATAACCATGAAGTGCTCGGTGTCGGCCCTACGTAGCATACAGGATAATGATGATGTCTTGTGTAGGAACTGCGCTCATAGTTAAATATTAACTAGGCTGCACACAATAGCCGTCGGTCATTTGATTATGAATGCAGCTGTAAGGAAGAAAGTTAAACAAAAGATATTACGATAAGGTGATTTACGGACGAATTGCGTTCTGCGTACGCGTTCTGATCTCTTGATACTTGATTATTACCGAAAGGAAATTCCATCAAATTATTTATATCCCCATTAATATTGGTTGGTTAGCAATCACTTGTAAAAGAATATAATATAAAAAACGTCATGCTTGGGTCTCTGTAGTCTCCCCCACAGGCGTTTTCAGTGTCGTCACGCAACGCTTTCTCCCCTGAGTAGGCTTTCTCTCCTGAGACACATTCCCTTATGAACCATACACAGGAACCTTGTTTGGACTGCCTGGAGATTAGGGTCCCTGAGGCTGGTCACGACTTGAATACATTCATCTGGTATTCAACTTGACGAGAAGTGGTCACGTGATTTGTTAATGCCTTTGTGTTGTATTTCAGGAAAAGGAAGATGACCTGGAACCTATCATCATTGGTCCTTGGATGGGTAGATGGGAGCTGGTTCACCATAATAAACACACCCAGAGATTCCTTGAAAACGAAAACAAAATTAAATCAGCTATCAAAGATTAATAACGATAAATAATTGATAAACGCGCAAACAAAGGGACGCGTGGGCTGCACATTTCACTATTAGAGACACAATATCTACTAAATGCTCAAGTCCAACCATGCACACTTTTAGGGTTTCTCCACGGTCCTAGAATAGAGCTGCATAAATTAATTGGCTCAACAAATTTTTCAGAAAAGGGACTATTTTAAATCATGAATTAAAAGAAATAATGAAACTGAAAGCGTTAATTCTAATTCGTCGAAATGATACTAAGAACATTAAGATTACGTCATGTATATGTACTTTTTAATTTTTATCAAATTCATATAATAAAATTAATTGAAAGTGGTGGTTGTAAATGATCACTAAGTCAAAATTATATGAACAACAAAAGTTGATTCTGTTAATTTACGACGAATATTTCAGACAAGGGAACTTTTTTGATTTTCATCAAAGATATAATTGAAAGTGGTGGTTTTAAATGAAGTTAACATTTTATGAACAACATTAAAATTGATTATTTTAATTTGTTAAATATTCCTTCCTTGTGTAGGACGGCATATGGCTTCTCACAAATCCGCACCAACCAATGCTCCCATTTCTAGTTCGCCTCTGCTCAGTCTTAGCCTTGATTGTGTACAAATGTGTTCTTTTCTTTTATTAAGGTCCATTGTATAGTAAGGAATGTACGCACTACGGAACAATACGAGTTGATTAAAATGCCACGGGTTTTGGTCGAATAGCTGAATATTTTAACGCAAAACCGAGACTAAGGCTGAGCAACGAGAACTCGAAACTGGAGTATTCATGTATATGACTAATTTCTAAAAAAAAAGGTCAATTAGCGGTATTGCTGATCGGAGTGGTCAATACTGGTTTTGGAAAAAGAGGTTTTTGAAACGAAATTCTTATATTTCTAGCATTTGCAGATACATGTATGCTGGAGATTTCAGTCCCAACACACGGCTAGGACACACTGGGCACAAGTTTGCTCGCAACATCCGCTAGCAAAATTACGCAACATTGGAGTCTTGTTCGATCACCTTTGTTCGATATTCTAAGGCTTTTCGTAAGCAGTTTAGAACTAGTAGGAGCACCATAAGTTTTGTATTAGTCATATTAAAAATGGAACTAATTTTTTAAAAATTAACGAAAGTGAAAAGAAATCAATATTCATAGTTTTAATATTATCGTAATAATTAATCGGACCAGAAGGGAGATTGCGCACGAACCACATTCCACTGACCAATCCATCTGTGGGCTCAGTTGGTATAACGAAAACAAACATGGCGTCCAGACAATATCAAATTTATTCTCAAAAAAGTACTCATAATACCTTCATGGAAAAATAACTTGACGCTTTGAGGGTCTAGAATCCACTTTTCTTTATTTGTGAATGTTTCCACAATGGAAGGTAAGGTTTAAAATGATAAGAGACATAGAAACATAGCAGTATTACGGATAATAGCTTTACAGACGACGTCATGTGGTAATATTTAACGAGATGTATGTACTAAGATCCTAATTGTTCCCTTTAAGATATTAAAGTTAACAAACTAACATTATATTTAGGGTTAACAGTTTCTATATCATGTTATATTAGGTACAATGAATTCAGGTTGTCTTGCAGCTACTGTACGATTGTATAATTTTTGATATAAGCTTAACTTAAAACTCCATAAAATGTTTGTTGATTACTAGTAAACATAACGTCTAATTGCAATAAGCTTTAATTACAAGTTCGATGGTGATGTATGGTATTTATAGTTGATTGATATTTATTGGATTTTGGGGCATTGATATTCTGGTTTACTGTGCAAATACAGCATGTTTTAACATGTCATGATATAAATCAGTAAAATAGTTAACCCCAAAGAAGAGGGTCCACAAAAAGGTCCAATGGTAGAAATAGTGGTTGTACATTAGAAAAGCAAAGCAAAGTGTTGGAATTCGACAAGCATTGTGTGGTAATATCCATACCCCCGCCACTGAGGGAATTCGTAAAAGTACTCCACTACCCCCAGGAAATTCCAATCTCTTACATACAAACTCTGTAATTTTGTTCTTTCTCTGACCTCTCTCCCCTCCAGAATTTCCAATTCCACTCAGTGGGTGGGGTATGGATATTCCTGGAACTACACATTACCATTATACCCTCACAGCATAGTAACAAAACAATGTGTAATTAGCAACGTTTTCATTGCGACACACTGATCCATACAACAGTCATGATGGGAAATCAATCAATACACTACTATTAACCAAACAAATACTCCATTTTACAGTTCCGTTCAGTGACCATGAATGATAGTTCCATGCCGAGGTGCTGCTCATGATAAAAAGTATAGTTTTCTATGCGCAGAAACTCCAGCCTTGACTTGGAACTATTATTCATGATCACTGACAATGGGACTGTAAAATTGGAGTATTGTTTGATACCTTCACAGGTACTCTGATTGATGGCAGCATATTGCCTAATTTCCCAGTCACGACTGTTGTCTCAATCAGCACATAGCAATGATTAAACATTTTGTAAACTGAACAAAAGAAAGTGTACAAGGGATTCTGGTATTGACAAATGATACTAATAGAAATGCAAAATGCCAATCACATTGCATTTGTTTTTCATATATTTTGATTGGTTGAAAATGCAATCCAATTTTGTATGTCTCAATTTATTTTTTCCTTGTGCAGATTTTATCATTGGTAAGGACGTGGTATTTAGAGAATATGAAGCTCTTCAAGATCTCCTACAGTCTTTACCACTAAAGGCCCAACTTGGCCCAAAGGGCTTAGTTGATCAAGTACGTGGACTGAAAGAGCATGGCTTCCAGCATTTATTCAGTTCGCTGAAAGAAAAAGCACATGACAGCCACCTAGGGAATGTAGACATTGTGTATACCTGCTTTGATGTTTCTCACAATGTTGTGGCTTTAGGAAGTAATTTAGGAATGATCTTCTTCTTTGATCGTAATGTTAAGAAGCTGGCAAGATTTTCTAGTGATGTGAGTAAATACTGTATACCTTGTCAAAAGTTACTCTCACACAGGACTCTGCAGTAACTCATGCATACACTATCACAAGTGCTTCAACACTAGTGACAAACTAAAGAAGATCTATGTACAAAAGCCTACTATGCATAAAAATATGCAAAAACATTATCATTAAGCTGCAACTAAGAATAAGCAAAACTGCACAATCTAGTTTTTGCCATGCAACAATATGTACAAGGCTCTAAACGTATTTCTTTGTCCTTATTTAATAATTTAACTTCATCATCTTCTATTTTGCTAATGTATTTGTTATTATTACTGTTCTTTTCACCCCATTGATGAGTTTTTGCTCTTCGGGTTAATATGTAATTAACATTTTTGGCCCATTTTATACTTTATCCATCTTGCAGGCTGTCCATGAACCAGTAACTTGCATCAAACTATTACCTTTACAATGCTTCTTAGCAAGTGGTCATTCTAATGGTGCTATACTCATTTTCTCATACTACCTCTCATCAAAGGCACTACCAAAGGTAATAATCATTTTACAGTTAAAATGGAAAATTGCAGTATAATTTTATGTATATTTGTATAAATGTCTAAATAGGGCATAATATTGTGGTTTTCATTAACCCATGAAATACACTTTAGCGTTACTAAGCACTACTTCACGATAACCCTTTTATTTTCTATTGTCTTTTTGTGACTATAACACTCTAATTAGTACACTTTCTTTCATGGGTAATGAAAACCATGCTAATTAATGTAGTTAAAGTTGACTTGCATCACTACAGGACTCTGAAATCATTTTTGGTCATTCCCACCCACCCCACTCCCTCCTTCACATTCCACTCTTCCATTCCACTCTTCCATTCCACTCTTCCATTCCACTCTTCCATTCCACTCTTCCATTCCACTCTTACATTGTTTATAAATTTGCACAATAATTCTCAATCGCACTAAAAATGTGTTGATATGCTCTCTCTTTTATTGTTACAAATATTTTCTTTTCTTGGTTCTTTGATTTACTCTCTCCACGACAAAAAATTGAAATAATGAGGAATGACTCTTAGTGTTAACTACCAAAAGATCGAAAAGTTCTTCTCGTAAACTCACAATGGGAATGAACAATGAATACAGCCTTTTCCTCTTTTACAGTCAGAGTATTATCCAGTGTCTGGTATCCATACCAGTGCAATAACCTGTGTTGAATGGAGTCCTGATGGGACTATCTTGTACAGTGGAGATGAAGCAGGTCAAATAGCTGTTTCCATTGTCAAGTCTCCTGAGGTAAGTCGACTGCTAGAGCTAATATTTTCTTTTTATGGTAATTTCTAAAAAGTTCTTATACTGCACTCCTCTTATCTGTTTTCCCTTTTCAGCATCATCCTTAAGCCAGGGACTATGATAAAGGAGGGGCCCAGTCCAGGGCTTAAAATAACAGCTTGTCAGTTGATCACTGATCACAAAATTAGTTTAAGCTTAATCATACCTCATTTCTGGCTCAACATTACTGGTCAAAATGACCAGCAAGGCAAAGATTTGGCTGGATAAGTTCCAATTCTTGCCAAACATTGTCTGATGACTGGCTGTTACTATAAGCAATGCAGTCGCATACTTACTAACTAGTCTACTATGATTTCAAATCCAGCCCCCCACATTGTCAAGGGCATTAATTAACAATTATTCGCCGAAGGCGAAGTGAATATCGAGGAATATTTACCAAGACACAAGTCTTCGAGCGGCGAGGTAAATATGCTCCGATATTCACCGAGGCCGAGGCAAATAATTGTTTTAGTATAAATACACAGGTGATTCTTTCAAAAAAAAGAAGATAAAAGACATTTTTTTCTGGTAACACCTGGCCGCCATTTTGGATTATCGCTGGAGGTGATTATCGTGTGATAGTGTGAGTTTCTCCACCAACCAGCATGTGAGATTTTCAATAATCACCTGTGTATTTTTACTAATACTAGATAAAGTTAAATTCAAAGAATTAAATTTTAACTGATTATTTTTTAAGTTGATACAAACAGCTCTCTTGTTCACTGAGAATGCACCTATTGTCCAGATGTCCTACTCATATTCCAATCTTCTTGTATCAACGACTAAAAGAACTGTTCTGTGGAATTTTACTACTGAGCAACCAACACAAGTTGGGCAAAAGGAAAGGAAAAGGTAAAAAAAAGCTAGCTGTCCCTACATGGATTTCTCATTGTCAAGCAATGCTATTTGCTTAAGAATTCCTGGACTTTTAAAGAATAATGTCAAGCTAGAGGCTGTTTCAGAGTATTGATAAAATTTGAAGGTTTTTCTACAAGATCTATTGTTTCTTGGCAAACATTACATGCATCTGATGCTCCCTGACAATTATTACTCTTTCGTTATTTATGTATATTATCTTTTCTTTTTCTTTTCATCAGCCCTGGAAGTTATGGTGCATGTTTTTACCCACCAGCAAGGCTCTTACTTGAGAAAGAAAAGGAGCCACCTCTGACCATCTATTCATCAAGACCTGGTCTCAGATTATGGACAGCTGATATTAATGGCAAAGTGTTAGCAACACTAATGTACAAAGGGTTGATGAATGACTACCCCCCTGGAATACACACCCTTACTCCTCTCCCCTCCCCCTCCTTAGCAGATGCTACAAAAATTGAACCCTCTTCTGCGACAGCACCTCAGTTTGGCAGGCTTGAGATCTTTCATGGACAGTTTGTCATCACTTGGGATTGTCAAAGGTTGTGGGTACTAGACACATCACCATGTGCCTTGGTCTGTTTCCATCACAGTTACCATGGGAATATTATCGATGTTAGTACTATAGGACATGAAATTTATATCCTGCAGAAAGGTCCACGACTCATAAAAAAGATTTCTCTCATCCCAAAAATGCCAAATCCACTTCTTCAAATTTCAAGGATTCTTGGAACTAGTAGACAGATGGATTCTTCATATGTTGAAAATAGTGTGGTTGTCAGGACAAGTGATCCTAGTATTTCTAAAGATGAAGATAGCAGTAGTTGTTCAAGCAGATCTGGTCTGGTGGAAACACAAGACAAGACAGTTGCAGAAGGTCATGAACTTGATATACTGGCTTCAAAACTCCAAGATGTTGTTGAAGAAGACTATGGAGACATTGTCTTTAAACCAAAGCGTGCGAGCAAGAAGAAACACAATAGACTGAATGGTAATATTCTTCCTTCCTTCCTTCCTTCCTTCCTTCCTTCCTTCCTTTCTCTCTCTCTCTCTCTCTCTCTTTCTTTCTTTCTTTCTTTCTTTCTTTCTTTCTTTCTTTCTTTCTTTCTTTCTTTCTTYYTTTCTTTCTTTCTTTCTTTGTTTTTTGTTTGTTTGTTTATTTATTTATTTTTTACTACTGATATAATGATAAAAAATACTACCCCTCCACTCAAAAAAATCTCAGTTCAAAAGGTTCTAGGTGACCTACATCAACTTAGCCCTCAATAGGAATTACTCTATATCACTATGACGTCACAGCATGTTTTTAAGAGAATGGAAATATGGCAAAGAACGATATAAATTTGGACTAAATTTACCCTGCACCTAAATTGATAGTTCTAATTTTTCGCAGTTTTCTTAGTTGTGTTATGAAAGCAAAATATCATTTTCACGTGACGTCATAGTAATATAGGGCAACACTTCTCTTTACAGTTGCGTTCAGTGACCACAAATAATAGTTCCAAGTCGAGGCTGGAGTTTCAGTGCATATCAAAACTATAGTTTATATCATGCGCGACAACTCCAACCTCAACTTGGATCTATTATTCGTGGTCACTGAACGGAACTGTAAAATGGAATATTCCCAGTAATCGTCAGTGCCTTGCTGAGATCCTTCATTGTGGTATCGAGTTTACAAAATTGAGAAGATTTTTTGATATTTTACCAGATTCTTTCGTGGAACCTAACGAAAGCTCCCCCGAAAAAGAAGATGACAGCGCAAATGATGAAACTTCTGATATATCTTCCGAACTAGACTTTGCTGATCGAAGTGTTTCTAACTACAACTCGAGCGATAATGATTCACCAAAAGGTCCTAATGTAGTAACCCTCATTAATGTACGAGATGGACATCCAAATACTACGACTACACAACAACCATCATCTGTCGATCAGCTTGAGCCACCAACTAGAAGTGATCCCTACGATTTGTCTAGCAGAACTGAGCATTTATCTCCTTCAACGGGCTTAACAGAAACGATTGAGAGAACAGCATCTTTGGATTCTTGTTCACAAACTTTGTCACCCATCAGAGAATTAAGCCAAGAATATGAAACACCAACGTCTTGTAGTAATGAAAGTTTAACGGAGAAAACAAATCAAGAGAGTCCAGTTGGTCTCGATGAGTCTCACAGTTTCCCCCAGATATATTCAACCACACCATCAAACCTGTCTGATCTCTCGTTGTCAGAAAAATCATTCGACAGATTAACATCAGGTCAAAGGAAGCAATACACACAAAGACCAGATGATTTCAGCATGACTGTCATTGGTTCTGAGTCTTTGTCCTTGGAAAAAACAAGGGCAGATTCACAAGAAACTCTTCCAGTGTGTCTAGATGTAGATGGTGCAGAAGAACTCTATGATGCTGTGTCTTGGACATCCTCTTCTCGGACGTTCAGCGATTTTGATGGCGTTTCCTTGGACTTTATTCGTGGTATCGAGAGGACCTACACAACACAGACGTCTCAGGAATCCAGAACAAGTGACACTTCAGCAGCCAGTCAAAACGTTCATCTATTGGTTGACAGCTGGTCTGATATCAAAACTCCATCTTCTGGGTATGTTGTCTCGCTTGGTGTGTCAGACTTGCACATTTGGGTCGTAACTAACAATGAAAGTATCTTCTTTTGTCCAACTCACTTCGAGACCATTTCCTGGACAAAAGTCGGAGGCCAAGCCAAAACAATCGCTGTGAACAATGCTGGTGACGTCATATGGTGTATCGATGGAAGATACCAGGCATATGCTCGTACCGGTATTCGGGATAGCAATCTGACTGGCTCAGATTGGATGCCAGTTGAGAAGAACGTACGACATGTTGCGATTGATGATACAGTTGTGTTAATGATACTGATGAATGGGGATGTGTTCATAAGGACTGACGTGTCGAAAGACAAGCCAGGTGGCACGTCAGGAAAAACCATCGCTGAAAACACTAACTTTATGCAAGCATCTTGTTTGGATGGATTGGCTTGGTTTGTTGATAGTAACAGCTCCATTCATGTCTACAAAGGTAAAACTTGATTCAAAGTAATAGCTTTACCTAAGGATGGGTCGATGCTTAGTCTTACTCGCAGCGGTATAGCCTTGATAAAGGGTCTGGGGCTGACACTAGGCTTATGACGACTGCGAGGAAGAATCTACATAACCCATCCTGCCCCACCAATATCTTGGCCCACATGCATGTGCACTTTTCACACGACATAGTACTTTCACACCCCAATCTCACCCTTTTCTAGGTTCATTTATGAAGGCAGCAAGACAAATCTTTGAGACAACTGACTGATATTTTTATTCCGATAAATCACAGGATTAAACCGAACCGATCCTAAAGACAAGGAGAATTGGCACGTGGTAAAAGGTAAGCATGAAGCTTTTCATCATACATCAAAAGTTTAATTTTTTTCTACCAAAATAAGGTTGTGCAACTCCACAGCTAGTCCTATTGAATTGAAGTGATCAGAGAAGCGCACTTCTTCTTTTCCATACACCTCTTTACCTTGGGCGTAATATTTTCTGTTTTCAAAGCACGTGACTTTTATTTCTTTAGTTAACGGTTGTGTATGAGAAGGCACATGAATATGGATTCAAACCAAACAAAGAACCTTATCCTCAAGGGAATGACACATGGTCTGAAGTGGGAAAACATTAGAATCAAGTTAAAAAGATTAATGCCCGCTCAAAATATTTATATTTTTGATTGACTGTAGGGATTCCAACGAGATGGGCGTGTCTAAAGATCTACGGTTGGTCATGGATTGTAGACAACAAAGGATCAATATGGTTCACAAATAAAGTAACACACGAAAGTCCAATGGGATGTGAGTGGTATCAAGTCTCTCTCGGTCAATACTTGATGCAAGATAAAACCCTATTGGACACCCTGTGGTCTTGGGTTCGCCGAGTGGATGAGACCAAGCTAATAACAGCAAGTCCTAGAGCAGGGATCTGGATATTGGGAAAGAATGGGTCCTTGAATTCTGCGCGCGGTCACCTTCTGGGTGGTCATTGGCAGTCTATTACTCCAAATGGTACAGCTAAGTCAGTATTCTGGTCGTGTATATCAGCCAGAGGGTATTACTCTGTACAGGGTAACGGTAACCTATGGGCATTGCAACCAAGTGGAGACGTGATATGCTTCAAGCCAGGCAGTAGAGCAATCGCGGTGGAGTCATCTAACACCGTGCTTAAACTTGTTGCTGCTTCACATCGAACAGTGTGGGGAATCTCACACAATTTCCGCGTCGTTCAACGTCTTGGGATCATGGAAGACCTTTGTCCACAAGGCGTGAACTGGAAGGTCGTCGAACTATCAAGTTTCCAAGTAGGTCGTGTTTGCCATATTAGTTCAGGAACACTGTGTACATGGGCTGTTGACGAATCGGGCTCAGTCTGGTTGCGCATAGGAGACCTAGAGAAGACAGACACCACTGTGTCTCAAGTATGGTTACAAGTCGACGGAGAACCATCTATAGGCTGTCGCTTCGTTAAAGTAGCCGTCAGTCCTGATGATGCCATTGTATGGGCATTAGATGACCGTTTCAATGTCTATGCCCGCAGAAATGTGGCTCCTAATTTCCAGGTTGGAACATCCTGGGAGCTTGTGCCAGGTACGCATGTTAAAGATGTATGTATCAGTGGTGGTCACGTGGTATGGGCTGTGTGCGCCAATGGGGACATAGCTTGTCGATATGGAGTTAGTGAAAGCTACCCGCTGGGCAACTATTGGAAGAAAGTTCCCGGGAACTTCGAACTGATTTCTATTACACCTGATGGAGAACTGTGGGCCATCAATCTGAATGGTCAGCTGTTTCGCCGTAAAACGAAACATTTTTATGGTACCCAGTCTCCTTTCAAAGAGCGCACCTACAGCTCTCTTGAAGCAGAATGGGAAATAATCTAAAACGCTTTTCAATGAAAATTCGATATCTGTATCATGATAAAATCTTCGGTTTCCAAAAGAGTTTATATGAATTTCTAAAATATTTGATGAAAAGCTTTAGTTATAAAAATACTGGCGTTATTCAGTTGCGTTAGAAGCAGAATTCAATAGAGGCTAATATAATACTGAGCTATTTCAAAAAAACATTCTTATACCCAAAGGCGATAGGCGAAAAGCAATAGAAGATAGGTCATCCCAAGATCCAAGAATAGCTGGAACGACTTGCAGCTTTTGCTTGTTATTCTTGTCAAGAAAATGGACCTTCGTGTTGAGAATGATTTAATGCAATGTTATTCGTAGTCGACGGATTTCCGTCTCGGAATGACCTATCGCCTATTGCCTTTAGAGATGACAGCGTTTTTTGAAATAGGCTTATGAATCAACAACTCAATAATCGCATGACTCAAAACAATTTTGTCGGTGAAAAATAATTTCAAACTAATCTTTTTTCTTCGCACCGCGTATTATAATTTTTTATAGGGATAGATTCATAGTGAGTTAGATATAAATCAAGATATTTCGTAATGAGCATACTAAATATAAGTCAAAAATCGTTCCTGGGTCGAACTGGGTCGAGTTGACATTTCAGTGCATTTTTATCCTGAAATCTCAAGGGCGGATCCGGGGAGGGGGGGGGGGGAAGGGGGGTTTTGTTTTGGGGGGGAGGGGGTGGTTACCCCTTAGCTACACCACTGCCAAGGGTGGATCCACAGGGGGCAAAGGGGGGCTGAAGCCCCCCTCAGCAGAAAAAAACGATGCTTTTTAATTTGTTTTCCATTGTGTTGACGGAAGAAACTCAATTAGCCCCCCCCCCCCCTAAACTCAATTAGCTCGCCCCCCTCTAAAATTTTGTGCTGGATCCGCCCTTAAATCTAGGTCTGTTTTTGGGGGGGGGGGGGGGGGGGACATAATTCCAAGTGAAAAATTCTATTTAGTTCCCTAAAACAGCCCCAAAATTGAAAAAGCCAAGTCGACCCAGTCTTTCCCTCGACCTCGGAATGCCTAATCATGCGCTTGGGATACCTGTGATTTACTGTCACACTTTATTCGGTGGGCCATCTTTGTATCAAAATCAGTCAAAATTGTCCCGTATGGAGATGAGTGACTGCATAATGACAACATTCTGAAATTTTATACACAGGTTGAGATAAAATTTAAAAAATAGTTTTTTAAGAACGTAGAACGATGGAAAGAACGCAGAAAAATAGTTGCCAGCAGCTGGTAGAAGTTCCTTGTCGTAATCATACGAGAAAAAGTAGAAGATATAGTTTATCAAACAGAAAGAAAGTAACTGTGACTTAATGATTAAAAGAAACGAAAAATGACAAAGTGTACGATTTTCTCTACCAGTATCGAATGCACGTCTAGGGGAAATTTTTCAAGACGCCAAAAATATGCAATACTCTTCCCTATGAAGGGAGAAAAAAACGTGGGATACTTGTTTCCCGTAAAACCTATACTTTAATATATGTATCATGGATCGTACGTATCAGCTGAAGGCAATGGGGGAGAGACTTGACGGCCCCCAGACCGCACTTACAGGTTATCTCTAGCAGTATCTGTTACAGACGTCGATTTGAAAGAGGTGAATAATTTTGTCTTTCTTTTTTTCAATCTTTTATAATTTCATTTTTCCTTATTTCTCTTCGACTTCGTTGTTGGCGTTAAACCGGAAGTCAACAAATATCAACACACCGCACCAGTCTCCTCGCGTCAAAATCTTGCAGCCCTTCTCTACAGATCCAAGATGGCGGCCATCGAAGATATTAGAACGAGAGTTCGTCTTGGAGAACATGGTGTTATTAATGTAAGTAAACCTAATAAGTATCATTTACACATTTTTATACATTCTTTATGCGCCATATATTCACACTAGGTATATTTGTTGTGATATTTAGACGCACAGCACGGATTTCCCTGGTAGTTACTCTGGATACGACGACACGTGGACTGAAGAAAAGTTTGAAGAAGTATGTATTGCACGTCTATTTGCCCTCTTTGTTTGATACAAAATGCTTGATTATCCAAGAAATATATCTTATTTCAGTTCAAATAAATAGTCAAAGACTCTACTTGTAAGAGATATTAAGATCATTCTGAGATTAAAGAAAACAATTTTATGGTTTTCCCATTTCAGAAGTTTAAAGTCGATATCATCCGCATGACATCCAATGACATGGAGTTTGATATGATAGGCATTGATGCATCCATTGCTAATGCATTCAGAAGGATTCTGATAGCGGAAGTAGGTACCTTACACGTCCTTCCCTGAGTGTGTGAATCAGTTATTAGTTTCAAGGATTGTGGAGCTTTTCAAAAAGTGTGTACATGTGTGAGGGTGTTGGGTGGGGTAGGGGGAGGGGTAGTAAACACATATGATATTGACATACTTGCAAATTAGGAAAAAGTGGGGTGGGTGGATATGACCCTCTTTAAGCAGTCCCTGATTTTGCATTCTTCAATCTATCAATTTACAACTGCAACACACTTAAATAAGCTGCAAGCCACTGGTAGGGAAAAAAAGCATGCAAATGCTTTGTGTAGGTATAAAGCACACAGGGATGATTGCTTCTCAACACTTCTCAAGTGAATATCAGTCATCAAGTGCTTTTAGCTTCAATTGCACAATGCACAGTGGGTACATTTTGTTTTATTTCTTTTACAAAATACATAGCTGTTCTTTTCAGAACAGATGAAGAAATAAAAAACATGCACCTGCTGTGTGATGTCAGGTGCCAATCAAAAAGCAAGGTTTATGAATCAATATCATTATGATTCATAAGGGATTTTAAGCTGCAGGACAGCAATGATGAGAATCACAGCAAGCAAATAGTAGTACTAATAGTTGTGATATTCAATGGACTGTTATTGGAATATGCTGTAAATTGTCTGCCATTGTCTGTTGACAGTATGACATGTCCTTGTTGTACATGTACATTAGTAAGAGAGACTAGTGAGTGAGACTACTACTTATCCATATTAATTGCACACTTTAAAGCTACAGTAATATGAAGCAATAACAATAAATAATAACTCTGATAAATAACATAATTTTTCACTATATTCTAGGTTCCTACAATGGCTGTGGAAAAAGTATTTATCTTTAATAATACATCAATTATTCAAGATGAGGTAATTCCTTATCAGCATTCATTCATACTGCTTCTTTTATCCTAAAATTCCTGGAATTTTGATATTAGCGACTTCAAGATTTGCAAAATCTATGACAGCAAAATCAACCAAAAGCGTAAATATTTTCATTTCGGGATTGCACTCCTTCAAAGTCTGTCTTCCCTGTGCATAAGTTCACTTTAAGGAAAATGTTTTGAATTAAATCTCCTGCCCAATGAACAGAACCCTAAAGAAAAGCCTAAAAATGATAATTGTATTTGCAACGTTAGCTTGTATCAATCAGACCAATTCCTAACTCTTAATAGCTTGAGAGCGTCCTAGCCGTCATTTATTGTGATCAGATTTGACCTCATTTTGAATTTTCACACAGTTTCTTTTTAGCCTCACAACCCACCCCACCCCAACTAAAGATTATGCTCCTACATCTCTGTCAAGGGGTCTATTCTCGTACAATTCGGAATTTATAGATATTCATGATTTTTTTAAAGTTCTCAAATTGAACTCACCTAATAACAGGCTCGTCCAATTTTGAAAACTTTGGAATCACACCTAAATGTACTCGAGATTATGCAATTTCCTATACAAATTTTTTAACATGGAATTTCAATCATTATTGGGTAAATTGTGCCAAGAGAAAGTGAGAGGAGTTTGAGTTAGCTGATAGTAAATGAGTAAAAAAAATAGGTGAAATCCAAGGAAAATTGGATATAGTCCAAGTTAGCAGGAAGCTTGAATTAAGGTAATTCCCTTGTTTTGCACTGCGCATTTTTCTTTGCATGCAACTAAAAGCATGGAACTAACAAAGTTTAGGCATTTTTCTTTCGGAAACTAAATAAGAAACATGTTCAAAACCGATTTTCACTTTTTTCTATTTTTTGAGTAGAGAGATTGAGACTTTTATCAGACTCGCCCCAGTCTCCACTTGGATATTTTGAGATTTTTTTCCAAGATAAATCGAAAATGAGAATGGTGAACCCCATTTTTTATTTCAGATTTTTGAGAATTATTGTTATGCTCATCATCATATGAAAATATGAAGGAAAGTTTATTGGATAGATTTTAAAATATTTTGATGGGAATAGTTGACGTGCAATTTTTTTCATAGACACACACATACCTGCATTTTTCACTAATAGTTCAAGAATCACTATTATATAGTCATCCAATGACTTTGATGGATTTAATAGCATAGATTATCTAGTAAACTTTGAGTTATAAGTATAAACTTTGAGTTATAAGTGTTTTTGTTATATAAAAGTGCTTTTAACTATAAATAAAGGTTCTTGATTACAGCTTCCAGTTGCTACCACATTTTATTATAAAACCCATAAATTAACATATTTGGAGAGCATCTAGCAAAAAAACGAGAATAGTGACCCCATATTTTTATTGCAGTTTATGAATATCCATAAAATAATATTAATGTCCATGCAAAATTTTAGGACAAAGTTATTGGCAAAAATTTTTCAAGGGTATTACCTTAACCAATAACCAATTTCCAGTTAGTAGGGGTCTAATGTATATCTTCTAGAAAAACACTACTAGAACTTCAGCATCAGATTTTTCATTTTTTTTTTCCTTGTTGATAACAGGTCTTAGCTCATAGATTGGGGCTTATTCCCATCATTGCTGATGCAAGAGAATTCTCATTTCATAAAGAAGGTAAATGAAGTTCAAATTTGATATTGATTGATTGGATGTGAAAATCAAGAGTGATGTAACAATAGTGCAAAGATATTTATTTTATTTTTAATGTTTTAGACGACGAAAACCCCAAGGATGATTCAACTTTAATATTTGAATTAAAAGTCAAATGTACCAAAAATAAAAATGCACCAAAAGATGCAACAGATCCTGATGAGTTATACATTAATTCAAAAGGTAGGATGATCTTGACTGTCTGGCTTGTTTACCATGTGGGTCAGTGTGAGCAGAGGTTAAACTGTTTCAGTATGAAAACAAAAAAACAACAAAAATGAAACCTGTCAAGTTTTTACAGTCAAACCACCTCAAGCGTGAACACATAGAGGTCATTAATGACTTTATTTTTGGATTCTTGATTTCATTATTCAATTCGACACATTCATTATTGAAGACGAATCTTCAAAGCATGGCGTATACAAAAGCCAAGCATATATGCAACTAAAATGCAAAAACAACTTTTTGTGCAAGGAATATGTAATATTAATGACTTACCTTCTGTTTGCGCTATAAACAAGAGCCTACAAGCCAAGTTAATCGAATTTTCAAATTATTATTATTTTTTGGATATTGAAGATTCGTTTTAATTAATGAATCTTCAAATCGAATAATGAAATCAAGAATCCAAAAATAAAGTCATTAATGACCTCTACGTGTTCACACTTGAGGTGGTTTGACTGTAGTATGAATAATATTAGTAGCTTGAACACTGTGTAATAATGAAAGTATACTTAACTGTTGTGCATTATAGACATTATAGAGTGCAACATTATATATCTGAAACAGTACAATATAATTAGCACTAATTTGTACTAAGTAACGTTAATGAAACAATAGACAAACAATAGACATAGCTCTGTCTTGTGCTGTGTAGTGCATAATTAATTTAGTTATGTTTTACAAATTAACCCTTTCATGAATGTAAAACTTGGAAGATGACCAAACAAATGTAAAAGTTGAAAAGAAACGACAAATATTTTAATTTCTAAATTTAAAAATGCTCAAAAAAGATCTGGACAATAAGATGGCCAGCAAGAGTGAGCAATGAATAAATTAAACAGACATGAATAGAATGAGTGACGAGATAAGAAGGTGAAGATGGTATTGGATGTGAAGTGTTGTAAGGAGAAAAAAGTGATTGTATAGTGGCATTTAGCCAGTGTAGTGAAGATCAGTGTGGAGACCAAAAACAACGTGGAGAAGAACAGTAAAAGCGTACAGGAAGAAAGCTGGGTGGAGTAATATAACTAAACTTTTTCAAAAATGGTGAGTGAAAGATAAACTGGAATAGATAAAGAATGTTAATGCTTTATGTGACTCATGGAGCTCAGAGAACTAATGATGAATCTAATCCTTCGTCAGTCTAACTTCCAAATGGTCAGCTACTATGGTTTTCAATATTCTGTTGTTGTTCAACTGCTTGTTGTGATATTGCTTTATCACTGCCGCAACTCAAAAACATAAAAGGCGCTGACTGATTATTTTTGATTGACGGCAGCAAAAAAAACAAATTTTAGTGTTCAGCTCGCAACTACCAAGTTCGCAGAATATGGAAAACTGCAATATTTGTTTTTTATAACGCAGTGTTTAAGTCAATTCTTAGATCATCCCATGATTAATGTTATGCTTCTTTGCTTTCTAGCTTTCTATTGTAAAACTGTTTTACCACTATTTTCATTGCTATGCTGATTGAGACAAAAGTTATGTATGCCAAGTTGATCAGCGATAATCTACCTTCAATCCAGGAAGCCATGAGAGTATGTAAAGGAAATTGTACTCTAATGATTTATTTGATCAATGCTACTATGTATACTGTTAATTAACCTGCTTGTCGCAACACATAGCAATGGAAACACTGACAACTTGGTTCCTTGTCCTCTATTGATTTTATATGATGTTGATAAATATTAGTCCTTACAGTACAGTCCCACTACCTGTAATATAAAAATTCTAAAATTTTCTTATTGGTTATTGTGCAGTTACTACAGAACACATGAAATGGATTCCCAGCCCACAGCAAGCTAAAATGGTATGTTGTTAATTACTGTTCAATCTAGTATTCAGTAACAAAAAATGTGCCGTACTTATGAATTTTATCAGCTGATTTTATCAGCAGTATTTGTATAACAAGGGGATATGACAGCTTACATAAACCTATTATAGATATTTTGCCCTGTGATCGTTTAAAGTTAAAAAGTATATATGTATAAATCATCTTTGAATCAGAAATGAAATTGAACCAAACTTCTTTTTTAAAAACACTTTTTTGTGCGTGCACTTTTTTCACATTTTGCCACTTGTTTTTCATTCATATTTTATCTGTTCTCATTACGTTTTTTTAAGCATAACCATTTTGACTGTGCTACCACTCGAGTGTGCCATCATTTCATTTTTTTGTTATGCAAATTGTATCTTTAATTCATTCAGCTGGGTATTTTACAAACTAGCTATGATAATATTTACACACCTCTATGTAACCTGAATACGTTTTTCCAAATCATTGATCTTCGAATTTCTCGTGTATTTTTACGGGATCTCATTTCGAATGCTAGAGTTTTTAGTGTGATCCTTATTTCCATGATACGACTAACTGTCCTTTGCGAAAAAGTCTTAGTAGTCTTATAGTGGTCTTTTCCTTTTTTCGATACAATATAATTTTGACTAATCATAGGTTTGTGTGTATATGCAGCTTTGTTGTTTTTAACGTGTCGAAAATGAAAATGTTTTGTAAGAAGAAAATAAGCTTTTATCAGGTAAAATAKAAAAATAATTACCTTAGCCGSAAAAACCATGTCTAMATCAGGAAAAMTGTGAAGTTTCAAGGTACTTAGTTTAAAACTCGCGAAGGYATGATTTTTGAAAATTGTGAATTTTGTAGGAATTAAAGCCTTTTCTGAAGAGATGCCTCCAACGAATGTTTTCATACAAAATTTCGATTTTATTTTTATTTTCATATCTTCATCGCGATTTTTGAACTAAAAAATAATTACCTTAGCCGGAAAAACCATGTCTAAATCAGGAAAAATGTGAAGTTTCAAGGTACTTAGTTTAAAACTCGCGAAGGTATGATTTTTGAAAATTTTCTTTCTGTAGCGTATGGCTGGTTTATTGATTTATTTTCACCAGCAAATGATCCAAACGAACAAAAAAAAAAAACATAAAGAATCCGTAGATATGAGATTAATATTCCGTTGTTTTTGCTGAAACAAAAGCTTCACTCTTGTTGTAACTGAGCGCTGAATCTTGATATGTATGATACAATGACGAAAAGTAAGGCCATGACATGATATCAAAAACAAATCCTAACTTTTGAGAGAAAACTAAGACACTCTCGAGGACTCCATGCAGAATTATTTTATTTAAAGACTAAATTCGTACTCGACTTCATCGTCGCCTCTCGTCGTGGTATGTTGCCTTGCAGTTTATTTTCAGTTTCATCGCCAATCACCTTTGATTAATAAAAAGGTTTCTATATAAAAGAGAACAATGCTAAATATTCAAAATCGTACTGTTTTTTTACGATGTCTTAATAAATCTTTTGTTATCGTTGCTTCTGAATTTCTTCACAGCTATGATGTGGGTCCGGCCAATCCCACTGGTGTCTGTTCTTATTTCCTTCCTCTGGTACAACCATATAATCATCGCCGTATTTACTCTTCAAAACATCTTTCCAGTTGTTTTGGACTGGTAAAGACAGCCCTTCAAACAACAGTTCTTTCAAAGGGTATGAGCCTGTAGGAACAGATTCAACGACATACATGTCTATCATTAGGCCATCGTGCCATTTGCATCCATGAGCCAAACAATACTTATAACAGCTTTTCGTATCTCGAAGTCTTGGATTCCAAGTCCTAATATACATCCCTATATCCTTGTATTTATGARCCTTGTATGTTTGGGCATTTGGTCTCAAGTTATGATCCGATTCGGTGTTTTGAAAGAAAACGTCTGTTGGCAAATCGACGCTTCCAATTCTAAAGAACTTCTCATATTCGTCTAGTGGAATTTCAATATCGGCATCAGAATCCCACGGAACGAACCCCTTGTGTCTAGCAGCACCAAGAAGAGTGGCAGAAGTAATCCAGTATTTTATACTATGTTTTCTTGCGATATTGTCGAATAATCCAAGCATTCTTGTGATGGCAAGTTGTGCTTGCCTTAGACTGTGTGACCCCAAACGCCTGACATCAACGCAGTTGAAGAAGCCACTGCTGTTACCGCTACACTGTCCTCCGAGATCGGTATACAGTGGTGGACACATCTCGCCATTTTTAAACTTCATGGAGCAGAACGTCCTCTTTAAATAGTAATTCTCCTGTGCAGGCGAAGTTGGTGTTGTTGATGGCAGTTGGGATTCATTTAGCTGAATCACTGGTTTCTTATAATCACGAGGCGTATCAAGCCGCTCCACAAGTGGATTATTCGTTGAAAATACAGGAGTGTACGCATTAAAACTCAGTTTACTCTCTGAAGCCATAAACACGATAAAAAAGACAACAAAAACCAGACAAAGGCTAAGCAGAATTGATACTCTTAGCCTCATTTTTGCCTTTCAAATCCCATGCGAGCTAATATACAGTTCGGAATGATTATGTGAGCGGAATCGAATTCAACTTCCGGTTGCGGGTAAATCATTAACGAGGACAGGAAGAAGCCGTTCGCTCATTGGCTACGTCAAGCTTACTTGGCCAATTCAATTTTTTTTTTTAATATTAAGCAACTCCATCTGTGTTCTGTACTGGACAATTAGTTAAAAGGAGGGACAGAACCCCGAGGTTACCGAGGTTTCTAGGCTTCTAAATAAAAACGTTTTTTGGTCATAACATCGTGTCAGGGAAGAAGCGGGAAGAACCTCTTCGTTCATTTGCTACCTGAAGCTCTGTTAGCCAATTAAAGCTTATCTGTACAGCAATTTTTACAGCTGATTATAGGCTGATTTGAATTGTGATTTAATGGCGCGCGCTTGGATAGCGCGTGCTCGTCTGTTCATATACTGATGGAACGCCGATATAGTAGATACGAAAGGTTGGATTAAATTCATTTAAAATCATGTGGCAAAAGCCTCATGTTATGACTAATATATAAGTCTTATTTGACACGTTTCTGGGCCCAAACGATTATTCTTAATTATGTGTGACAGTCTATCAATAGAGGAGTGGTTTACATGGTACCGGACCAATTTTTTAACCGATCAAAATGTTGTTTGTTAAGGGCTTCCGTTTATACGGGACTGAGCCATAATTTAGTCCTTGAATTTGCTCTTTATCCAATCAGATACCCGAAACATAGTCTCCCTCGCATCCGTTTTTAGTGTCGGTCGTCGCGCAACGCTTTGGAGCGGCACGAACACATCAAGGCTGCAGCAATGCCGAACCAATCACCGTTAAGCAAGAGTTTACTCTCTCTTCAATCAGACACCCCCCCGAAACACGGCATAAACACTAGTCATGGCATCGGCCGGACCAACACATTGCGTTAGAGAGAAATCAGCCAATCACAATTCTCGAAAATATCACTATCGCGGCAAGTCACGAATACGGTATCGCTGAGCCTTTAACAGTCATACGAAAACGCTCTAATATTCAGTCACGCTCTAGGACTGAAAGGTGAGGTCTGTGGTTTTCCAAAACGCCAATCAACACCTCCCACGTTTCATTTCAAAAGTCTGATTTTGACTATGAGAACCACGACGACATTCTTAAAACCAAATTTCGGTCGCCTTGATAAGTTTAAAATATTAAGCTTTAAATAAATCATTAAATGTAGAAGGGAAAAATATTACTAACAGAAAATATTAGGGAAAAACAGAAATCGAAATCTCAAAATAGAAACTTATTTGCTAAACCTTCTTCAAATAACAATAATTGTTAGTAAGTGAAACCTTTTATTTTAATGACTTGTCGATAGACAACCTGTCATTGACCAATGGCGAGTCATTCATAATGAACCTGAAGGTCAAGGATGTTCGTTTATTGACATAGCCTTTCACTTCTAATTGGGAAGTACTTTTTGCAGTAAACACCAGCTGCAAATCTACTGTACTTTTCCAGTAAAAACAGGTTTTGGTCATGTACAACTTTGCACATGCGCACTAGAAAAGAGCAGGGATGTTTTACTTTCTAAGCCTTTTTCTGTTCTCTTTTTCAGAATTACCCCAATTGTAACTTCAAAAGATTTCCAATACAATCGGTTCTCAATTAGTTAGGCTAGCGAGCACCATTGACCGATTTTCAGGGTCAGCTCCTAGAACTGAGTACTCGTACTTTTTCCTTAAGTCAACACCTGTTTCAAACTCTTACGTCATGCGTGGCTAACTGGTTCAATCTAGTTTGACCTAGTACAAACTAGTTATGTGACGTATTATTTTAATTCAGTCATTAAATACGGGCTCACTCAGAGTTCAGTTTAGAGTTGAGTTAGAAGCAGAAAGAGCAGAAGAAAAAACAGAAGCAGAAGTAAAATATAGAATTAGCCCCAGTTCTACAGTTACAGTCCCAGTAAGCCTAAACAAGCATTGTACAAGAAAGTCGAATAAAACCTTAACAGAAGACAGACCGACTTGCGATTGGGAAAGTATCACTTCCCAACTTTCTCTACGTGACATAAACCTAGAAATCTTAAGTTGTTTAGATAAATGAGTAGAGGTTTAAAACTATAGAAACTGATTATGCAGAATTGAATAGTGTGTTGAACAGCTTCAGAGCTGCTACTGAAAGGTAGAAATTCACCGAGGAAACCCCTTAGAGGAAGAGTGAACTACGTCTAGTAAATATATCAAGCGTGGAAACGAGTGTTTCATCCAATTTCCAAGCACCGAGAAGTGAGTAAAGAACGAGGCGTGTACATCATACAATGCAACCCTACCTATATCGATGTTTATCTTTATTGTCATGAAGCGGGCGTTAAGGCAAGCGGGTGGCTAGGAAGAATGAAAATAGTGTTTCATCCGATTTTTCAAACACCGAAAAGTGAGTTGGAAGGTGCGGTGCGGAGCCGAGGTTTTTTAACTAACTTCGAGTCTTCGAGCATTCTCGTACCCATACACTTCTCACCAAAAAAATCGATTTTTCGTTAGAATAGAAAGCTAAGGAAGCTTTGGGTACGAAAATGAACTTCGAGGTGTTTGGATAGAGGATGAAACCCTCTTTTTATTATATTATTGTTATTATTATTATTATTATTAATATTATCATTATCATTATTATCATTATAATGATTATTATTTTTATTATTATTGTTATTACTATTATTATTTTCAAACTATTAATGATTCTTGTATAAATTCAAAGCATGAGTTGCCCACATTTTGTAATGCTAATTAAGATCACATTTGCAAACCTTCTTCACGCTAGTGATGTTATTTGTTTTGTCCTCTTGAATTAATAACTACGAAAAAGTCCTCGAAGAATGTGGTTTATCGTTAACCAYATACAATTACTGCCTTGGGCTCCCTGTGAACTAAGTCAGCCGGAATATTCAAAAATAACTGCATGWCACTTAATTTCTCTTATTTGGAGCCACGAGCGTAAATTAAATTAGGAAAATTGTCATTAGTCGCAGCGTTAGGAAATATTTAACAACGATACAATTATATAACCCACGCGGATTGCATTTGCTATGATCGGTTTTCCATCTCAGAACTTCATTTATCTGAGTATTATTCTAACAAAGTCAAGTCATGTTTCAAAATGTTTGAAATTCTCAACTTTCCCCATACATAATACTTTGCGTAACCAGAGAAAAAA